ATTCGATCTAGCCGGCAGCCGATTTGTTAGCCGGTTTGTAAAAAAAAAGTTAGCCGTTTTTAGCCGATTTTACTATTTGCCTAATTTTCAGGTGCAAAAAGTAAACAAGTTGTTCGAAAGCAATAATGCAGACCCAATGAAGATTTTTAATGAACTCAATGTTTTACTTTCGCATCTATGCCCCCCTAGTGGTTATTAGCGCGGACACATTTGATCCTATATGCTCCCCGTTGGAACCATACCTTGCTCCATTTCCTCAGTTTTATCACAGTTTTGAAGAGTATTTAAAAAACAAAAGTAAGCACAAACGCTTTTGACCACGAAGCCGAGAAAATAATTCGAGAAAATGGTCGCTATTTTATTATCACTTTAATAAAGGAACTACGCCAACGCCTCCCTACAAATATTGCCACACTAAAAAAATTGACTTTTTTCGGTTGGAAATGCATTAAAAGTAATTAAGTCAAAAGTATTTGTTCAACTACAGCAACAAAGACACAAATATAATGCCGACGAAATAACATCCATAGAGATGCAATGGCAACGGTTAACGTTACATACCTGGAGTAATTTAGACTCAACTGTAAAATTTTGGGCCGAAGTTTATCAATTTCGAAATGCCCTAGGAGAAAACCCTTTTGCTGACCTTTCCAACCTAGTTTTTAGTTTTCTTGTTTTGCCTATAAGTAATGCAGAAGTAGAGCGAATATTTAGTTCAATGAATATAATAAAAACTAAGCAAAGAAATCCAATGTGCGTTAAAACGTTAAACGCTATTTTATATATAAGATACGGTTTAAAACGTGAAGAAAAATGCTGCCATAATTTTACTGTATATGACGATCTCTTAAAATTAATGAATTCAGGTGATATATACAATAGTGATTCATTTGATGATGAAGAATATACACTCGATATAAATTAATGGTGTTAACTAGTCTTTCGTTTCTTGCGATTTATTTAAATAAAGCATGTGAATTTTCACTAAAACATTTTAGCCGTTTTTAGCCGCTTTTTTTTGCTAATCTAGCCGGTCGGCCCAAAAAGTTCTGGCAACACTGCTCATAACAAGTAGCCCAGTAATTAGAGAACAGAATGCATTTTTACATTCAAGTTTTGTTTTCGCAACAAAGTAGTCAACATTTTGAGGGAAGATGATGCGCTTGCGTGCGAACTCAAGCCGCCTGCCAATTTTTATAAGCATTCAAATACTAATACTGGGTAAATACTTATTATGGATAAACAAAAAAAATATGTATAAACTTTTACAGCCATATCACTTACGAGTTTGATTGTCTTGTGCCATTTCAGCGGTATTTTTAGAAAATCTACAATTAACCGAATGCTGTTATGATACTCAGGAATGTTATACGCCGCGCAACTTTAAAGGCTATTATTACAGGAAAAAGGATATGCAAAGACTAACCGAAAAGCAGAAAACCCAGTGTGAGGGGTATTGTCAGGATGGTAATATTACGCTTATTTGTTGCGCATTTCGAGATGAGCCGGAGAAGCATCGTTTACTCTACCAGTGTAAGTAGCCAAGATTTTTTGCGTTAATCTTTTTTTCGTTCATCTTTTTTCAAACACACCAAAAGAAAATATGTTCACATGGTTATTGAGTTAACTGATTAAAGGCTATTACTAGGCAATGTATTTTTTGTTTTAAACTGAATAAAAAATATTATCACTTACCCAATAACCAAGCTGTAGCGCTTGAAGCACTTTTATAAATATTCAAGTCGCATTAAAAATATGTTCTCAGTGAGTGTTTTTCGTTTCCTTTATATTTTCGAAAGCTGCATTTATTGAAGAAAATATTTGTAAAACAAAAAATTTGTTAGATCTTTTCGATTTTTGACTTACAGCAACATTTGTCACAGCGCGCACGCATCGTGAACCATGCGCGCTCACCGCCTATGCGCGCAACCTGTTCACTAGAAAGGAGCAACTAACAATTGGCTCATATTTGCGACTTTTAACATAACCTTATATAATAATGATGGAATTTGTGGTATTTTTAAGGCATTTTTAGGTTAAGTTTGGCATCGGAGGTATGTGTTAAAATAATCCCATTAATTCCGTTTTTTTTGGAGTTCACACACAACATTCTTTTTCCCACTTTCAATTTTTTTGATTTGCCAAAATTTTTCTTCAGTAGACAAACACTCTAAAACACGTTCCGACGCCATGCTAAAATTTAGTCTTTACTATACGCAGATACTATTCAAACTGATTAACAACGTTACACAAAGAAAGGTCAAAAAGAAAAAAAGCACTTGCTTAGCAAATAAGTACTTCCCCGAATAGAATAAGAGATTCGCTGAAAAAAAAATCCAAAGCAACAAAACCAAGTGCATAATTTGGGATTTCCCCTAAATTGTTCGACTTTGCATTTGCCAAAATTTTTATTCAAATTATGGAGAAATTCGGGTTATAGAAGTTCGAGTAATAGAAGTTTGACTGTATTTCAAAAAAAGTAATTTTGCTGCCGTTTCTCCCATGAAGCGATTTCTTAGAGGCTCGTATATAAGGCCGGCTGCACTGAACAAATATTTACGGGCCAGATCTGCCAATTTGTCGTACATTCGTACAAAACATTCGTATCATTTCATGCGAATGGGAGTGTCGAATTCGAGTGTGTAAAATGATGCGAATGCAAATATTCGCAACATCACTGATATGAACTCCTATAGTAGTTAACTGCCCTTTCGCTAGTTTTTTAAATTAAAAAAAAAATTGATTGAAATGGTAACTCTTCTGTTCTTGAAAAGTTTTTTGAGATAGAGCGTCGTTGAAAAATTTTCTCAGATAGGGAGTTTTCGAACCGGCTGCCGAGATAGGTCGATCTTCCACTCAGCCATCGATATGTAAGTCAACGAAAGACATAAGAGGCGAACTTTTCTTGCACAGCAAATAAAAATATGTTCCATAAATGAATAGTTCACCCTAATGATAAATGATCTGAAAGATGGAATGATCCAGGGCTCGAATCGTCACGTACGATATCGTACTTCTCGTCACGTAAAAATATATTTTTTGTTTTTCGGATTATGACATACGTGAACGTACTCTGTGTCCCATTCAGCTTATACCGCCTGACGTATCACGTAATTTTCTCTCTCTAGAAATTAAGACCACATAACAAAAATTTCGATTAACTATAGGTGGCAAAGGCTCAAACTGACGAATGGTTTTAAATTCAGTTTTCTTTCAATCAACCCCTGCTACACAAATAAAGTCGAAACTACGGCAATTTTTTACCAAGGGAAATTATTCTCCCAGGACACACAAGCTACATAGTCATTTAAATGTAAAAGCAACTAACAAAGGATAGAGGTTCCATCAAAAGCTGCGATCTCGTGCGAGTCCGAAATTACCATTTTTTACCCGAATCTACTGGAAATCGATCACGTACAAGAAGTTACAAGTTTTTCTCCCAGAATGGTTTGCAGGTAATTTTTCGGAAGTTTGTCAACCGATCAAGGGCTAAAGTCCACTATCAAGGAACTGATTGTGTAGTTTTAGTTTGGCTTTTGTCCTGGTAAATCCATTATAGACAAGGCATCTGTCGAACCCCAAGTCTTGAGAAAGACCCGCTGGTAAAAGATCGACACCTATCTTCTCTCGGTCGATTTTAAGGCCACCGTCGATAGATAGACAACGTTCCAAAGCGATATCCGCGAAAGTAATACGAACATAAGCTTTTCGGTACCAAGCGAGGTTTCTAACAAGGTCACTCCCTTTCGGGTAATTTCGTTGATCAGATGTTTAAGAGGGTACTAACAGCCGCAGAAAAAAATTACTCAGTAACAATTATGAGATCCTCCGGCCTGGCGTACGTACCGTCTGTTTCGAATTTTCCAAGTTGGATGTGGAAGCAAAGCTAATGAGTCTGGGTGTGAACGAAGATAAGGCGAACTATTTCACATCTTCAAGCAAACAATTAACGCATTCGTTCCTCTACAAACGCGTCCCTGTTAAATTTCAAAGAAGTAGAAGAGGTGGTTCCTTATTGAACACGACCAAAATCGCTTTGAGGTTTTTTTATTGCCTGTAGAGGAGCGACCGCTATAAGAAAAAGTGTTTGCTATTATTCGGATGTTACTCAAACTTGGATCGCAAAGAGTAACACTCTCATTTAAAACACGATTTTAGTGCTAACTTTTCTGAAAGCTTACAATTTTCCAAAGTATATTTTTGAACTCTGTGACTAGTTTAATTACATTTTTTTTTTCAACATAAGCTTCAAAATAAATTTTAACTGCGAAATGCAAAAATACTTACATTCCTTTTCATGGGTAAACTTTAATAGTGCCGTATCATTCTAATATACATATTTACAGCATGTCTAGAAGCTCATTCGCCCTATGGATTTATCACATTTGGTGTGGTGGCGAAGCCCAACGAATTTCCATACATGGTGAGTGGTTTAAAATAGACACAAATACTAAATAGTTGGCTCTAAAAAAATATTCGTGGTAGTAAGTTAAGATACAAAGCTAGTTTTCTTTGTATGCAGGCTGCTATAGGTTGGCGAGTTCGAGATCAAAATGGTACAGAGAGCATAGCTTACAGATGCGGTGGAACATTAATCGACAGCAGATATTTGCTAACAGCTGCGCACTGTCTCTACCACTCTAGGTAAATACTTAGGCGAATTTCAAAATAACAAAAACGTATGTGTATGGATTTACACTATATTACTGTTCTTCTTTCGCGCAAGTGATCCGCCTGTTGTGGTGCGTCCAGGCGGATTCGATTTGAATAGTACCACTGCGACTGATTATGATATCGATCAGATTATTGAACATCCAAATTATGAATACCCAGCAATTTACAATGACATAGCGCTCATTCGTATGACAAAAGGATATTTGTAAGTTGTGCTTCTGATTTTTACCAATCGTGTGAATAATAAAATATTCCTTTGTAGCAGCGGAATACCCCAAGTGGCTAAAGCTTGCATCTGGTATGGGTCATTGGCTGAGGAGCAGCTCACCGCTATAGGTTATGGGGATACACAATTTGGTAAGATTAGAGAAGAGCATTTAATATGAATTTTATTATCCTTCTCTCTCTCTCTCTAACCCACTATCTGTGTATCAAAGCTGGCGCCTCCTCACCGCTCTTAATGAAAACGAGTTTGTCTACAATTACGAACGAAAAATGTAATACTTATTATGAACAGGATGAAGACTTGCTGAGGTCAGCTGTAATAGCTACGCAGCTGTGTGCTAAAGATCATGAAAAATTACGAGACACATGTCAGGTGAGAGCAAAATCTCTTATGTTTATCGTCGTACTTCAGAGGTGTCGTTATTTTACTGCATATGACTCCCAACAGTAGTTTAAGCTATATATGTATGTAGATTTTATATTAAAAAGATTGCAGTTTTTAATTAATTGATTTTTATATTTTAGGGAGACTCCGGTGGCCCACTCGTAAGACATGAGGAAATAGAAGGTTACAGTCGGATAGCTTATATTGTGGGTGTAACCTCTTTTGGCATCGGATGTGGTACTGGCACCCCCGGAATTTATACACGCATTTCGGAATATTATGATTGGATTGAGGAAAAGGTTTATAAGTAGAAATATATTTGTTTAAGCTCTCACATACTTAAGTACTTATACATAATAAAAGTTATAAAAAAAAAAACAAGTTGGAAACATTCGAATATATAGCTGAAAAAAGCTTTTATGCATTGCCAAATTTTTTAATAATACATATGTACATACACACATATCTAATCTTCAATTTTTGTTGATTTTTCGGAACGGTTTAAATGTAAGTGCGACCTTCAATCTCAGCACAACCGTTTATAAATATGTGTGTGCCTCATCCAACTGGTAACGTTATGCTATTCTCAAAAAAAAAATATATATATATTAATAAAGCTTACCTAAAGCTTTCTTTCTTAAACCTCTCCTTCTTGGTACCCATATTAAAATATTTAATTGAACTTGTAAATTGTATCGATTCTGAATTTGTGGTGGCAACGCTCTTCAAAAATATTTTTGAGTTATAGCTTTCTTGAATCTCTCTCGTTTGAAAGCCATATTAAAATACTTTATTTTACTCCCTGATTTAATAGATTTTGAATTTTTGAACAAGCAGCAACCCTCTTAAAAATAATTTTTGAAGTAAATCGTGGCTGAGCCCCATTCGCTTGGCAGCTACATTGTTGTAAAATTTTGCTTAACTTATTAATTAATTGATTTTAACTTTGAAAAGGTTGGCAGCTGTCTTCAAAAAATGCCCTATATTTTTATCCGGCTCTAATCCCGGTTGCGAAAGCTGTTTCTGTTTTTTATACCAGAGATGGTTCTATCCGCACTCCATTTCGGTTGGGTGCAACTCTTGCGATGGATGAAGCCAACTAAAGATCTGTTCTGCCCTTAGGCCATCAAATATCTAGGAGTTATCCATGATGACAAGCTCTCATGGAATCCGCACCTAGATAAAACTATTCAAAACGCCAGGGTTTCTATCTGGACCTGCCGGAAACTAATGTAGGCGGAACTGGGGCATCAAACCTAAACAGGCAAGGTGGATATATGATGCCATCTCCAAACCTATTCTAACTTATGCTGCGCCCGTCTGGTGGCAGTAGGCAGAATTGAAGTCCACGCAGGCCAAGCTCAGTAAGCTACAACGACTAGTCTACGTTGGCATCACTGGCGCGATGAGAACAACACCAACCGCGGCTCTGGAGGTACTTCTTAACCTGGCTGCCCACACATTGTAATCAAGAATGAGGTTCTTCTGTTTACAGCAAGGAAGCGGAGCTACGGATGTAACGACCCCGGGGCCCCAGTCAAAGGCTACTAGTCCTGAGTCGGTGGAGGCTCAACTGGTAGAAGTGTTTACGGCTTTCGGAAGTCTTACCAGAGACTCAAACCTGGTACCACGGGGAACATATGCCCCCGGATTGTGTTCGCCGGTCAGATTGGCGAGGCTAGTTGGATGAGCAAGGCTCGCAAGACACGTACTTCCACCGTTGGCAGAGAAAAAACACATCTACATACACTCGGACCGCAGAGCGGCGCTGCGCAGAAAAGGGGCTGTACGGGGATTCATAGGCCCAGGACCCTCGCGCGGTTTATTAGCAATGCGGTGATCAAAGAACACATGTAGTCGAATAGAGGTTTGTTACAATAGATCGTTTCGGTCGCGGTAGCTAGGTGACCTGCTCCCTCCTCTAAATCTAATCTAATCTAGGTCATCAGGTATGTATATGAACCCCTTTTTTCCAAGGCAAAGTTGCCCTTTCATACTCTATGGCCTGAACGGTCTTCATTAGTTAACACAGTATACTGATAACTGCAATCCAAGAACGGAAGCCACACAACATCGCAGCCTTGTTTAGACATTGTCTCTCGTTCCGGAATTAAAAAAGTGGACGGCGAATGGTCTGAGTGGTCTACAAGCGTCAGTAGTGTTAAGAGATCACACTTTTAAGACAAAGAAAAATTGAACTAGGGATCCCATGCAGAGATGTCTTACCCCCATTTGTTACGACTATATTTATGCTCTATGTCGCTTCTTTACTGCACTTTTTCTGTACAAAGTACAAAACGTTTTTTACAGTATACAAGGTGGCTTCTAAATCATACAACGTCAGTTTGGTCACCAAGAACCGCACGGAAAACCCGAACAGTCAATTACATGAAGCAGAGTCAATTACGATGAGCTTTCCTTACACTTCTTTCCCGCTGAATTGACGCGGTCGAAAAAGTGAGTTTTCTAGGCTTTCCAAGTTATTTGAGCTTGAGACAAAGACTGATAGACTAACCGAACTAGGTACTACATAGTAAAGCCGCTACAAACAACAATAACAATATTTCTTATAGCACATTCATCGGCCAAACTGAAAAAGGGAATGGTAAATGATTTTTTATGAGAAGCTTTTTCGTGACAGAAGCACACCTGGTTGTCTGCAGATGGACGACCGTTTTTGGAAAATAACTTTAATTTATATTTTCCGTCGACAAAGGATGCATGGAGGCATTTTTCGGTCGCGGTGGCTGCTAGCAAATAAGCTTGCTATTAATTCTTAATTAGTTAATACATTTATTTTGTGCCTGGTATGATATGATTGGCATTGGAATCGGCATAAATTGAAGCACATTGGTAAAATATCTCCTTTTATAATAGCTCTGATCCAGTACTCCATGAACTTACAGGTTCTTACACGAACTTGCAGGAATCCTGCAAATGAGCGATTTTTGGAGAGTTGTGTAGATAATGACGTTGCAAGATTTTAGCCGAACTTTTTCTTCTGATAAAATCATGAAAAATGTCAAGCGATCACAGGTTGACGTTTTTACGGGAAAAAAAATGCTTTTTTTGTTCCCGTACTTTTTGTTGTTACTCACTCTTTACTCTCACTTCAGAGAGTAATTTTGCTGTTTGACATTTTTACAGGATTTTACACGAAAAGTATTGGATCAGAGCTAATATGTAATAAATAAAGCACAGATCTACGCAAATAGATAAAACCAACATCGTTGCGAAAACCAGTTACAACTGATAAACATGCAAGCTCATCTCTTACATGTATGCGTCAGTGAGATACACTCGAAAAAAATATGGGTTAAAAGCAAAGACATTAAACTCTTGCTCTTCATGGGTGCAGAATCTAAGGTGTTTTCAGCGGAAATTTATGATCCTTGCATAGAATAGATCTCCAGAAAGCCTACAAAGCTTTCTTTCTTATTGAACGGCGTCCGCGTTTCATCGCCACACAAAAAAACGGCCATAATGAAAACAAAGTCCTTCACATTCACCCACCTCTTACGTCTGCGTTCCTGTAATCAGGTTAACTTGAGCTAGATGCAGTAATAAGCTCGTTTGTAACTTTTGGTAGCGACAAAAAGAGAAAGAGCTTAAATAAGTCAGCTGGAAAGGGCTTACAGAAGTCAGCACCGTCCACTACATATATAAAATCCCACATCCACAAAGGTGACGTGAGAAATCCCAAACGTAGTGCTATGATTATCGAATCTAGAAGCTTACCATTCTAGATCTTTAAGCTCAAATAAAATTTGCATACATTCTTATCAGTGTCACACAACAACAGGTACATAGGAGTTGAGTGACTAGTAGGAATTGCTACATTCACCTTGCGTAGGAAATTAGGAAATCAGAACGAGTTTGAACATCCTTGCCAACGGTTGGAAGCTGCTTGCCATTCCGGTAGAAAACGACGAGATGAAAAAGGCATTTTATTCTCGTACTAAGCTTATCAGCTTAGTCGGCGTTCAATTTCTGCTGTTAGGTAAATATGGAATTTATTTTATAATTTTCATTTAATTTAAACTTTAAGACTAATTTTATTTTCACTTTATTTAGCAACATACCTGTCCCGTGAAGTCTTTGGTTGCCACGAGAATCAGCTATGTTTAACGCCGCGAAACCGGATTGGTACCTATTTAACACGAGCCACTTATCTTACACTATCAGAGAAATATCAAAACTTATGTTTGGGTATATGTAATTACAACAAAACGACAGAACTTATATGCTGCGCCACGCAGGATGTTCCGGCAGACAAAAGAATATCGCAAGTTCGTAAGTGACAAATCAAGAATGTACTACTATATTTTTTAAATGCAAATATTCTATTGGAATTTATACGAAATAATGAAATCTTAATTTACATATTTTCATAAGAATGTGAATATGACCACCGCGATTTGGGCTTCATATTCATAGTACATGGCACCGTAGCGAGAGCAAATGAATTTCCCTTTATGGTTAGTGGAGATCTCTATTTATGTGCATACATATATTTCTGTATTTCTAGTTTCACTTAATTATAAGCACATCAGGGTGGAGCGGAAACAAAAAAAAATCCTTTCCAAATTCTATTAGAGAGGGATGCAAAAACTTTTTTAGAAAAATTCTATGTATGCAGTTCTGAAGCACAAGTAGCTAAGACTTACCCTTGATTAAAAAAAAAATAAAAATTTTTTGAAGATGTTGCTCAATTTCTCCATAGCGTAGGCGAAAATTATTAAAATGGTTGACGGGGTTCAAAGTTATCCATTAACATACGTAAAAAAATATTTCGACGAATTGATAACCTCCTCTTCTTTTTGAAGTCGTTTGAAAAGTGGAGGCCGAAAGTATTAGCCAATTTCAAAAAAAATTATTGGTATTCTATTGACGTTCACAGGGCAACGAACCCCCGCTATTATAATGACGAAACGCAAAATTTTTTGTTTCCGCTCCACCTTAATGTACATACAAATGTATGTACGCAACTACATTTTCTTTTGTAGGCGGCTATAGGTTGGCGCACATTTGACAATGCAATATCATATCAATGTGGTGGCACTTTAATCAGTAACAGATATTTGCTAACAGCTGCACATTGCCTCTATCATTCAAGGTAGGTATGTATGTATTTACATTAAGGTGGTAAAAAAAAAATTTAATTAAGTTTAGGATTTTTCTAAATGGAAAAAAGAATACCCCTATTTTTTTGTTTAATAACATTATATTTAGAACTGCCTCATAGCCCATGAAGTTTCCATGTATTTTATATGGCGAAAATAAACACTTTTTTGTAGAAATGGTATAGAATTCCTGAAAATCAATATTTTTCGATCGCAAAACTCTGTTTCTCTTCAGGATACTTCCAGTAATAATAGCCAATTGTTTA